TTTGAGTATAATGGACTTCTGCTTCTCCCCTTCGGGATTGGTGCGGTTTCTTAGAGGCTTCTGGGATTTCCATTTTTCCTAGCTTAATCCCCTTCTCTATTCGTTCTCCAATTACTAACAAATCAGCAAAGTTTGTTGTAGTGATTCCTACCATGCTGTTGTAATATGGAGGCTTTAGTGTTTCGAAGAAGGTAGAGACCATTTCTTTTTCTGACAACGGGGGTTGAACATCTGCGGCCTTTCCTCGCCACCTCTGTGCATATTCACGGAAAGATTCATTTTCTTGCTTTTCCATGTTACGTAAATCTTCTCGGTCAGGAGCTAGATCTTGGTTGTGCTTGTAATGTCTTATGAATGCATCAGCTAAATCTTGCCACCTCTTCACCTTCGATCTTTCGAGTTTCATATACCATCTTAGCACCGAACCACTTAGGCTATTCTGGAAGCAGTGTATCATGAGCTTGTCATCTCTAATGTGGTTAGCCATTTTGTTGCAATACATGATCAGATGGTTTCTGGGGCACGTGGTACCGTCATATTTTTCAAACTCTGGAATTTTAAATTTATTGGGAATTATCACGTCTGGCACTAGGCACAATTGTGTGGCATCAGTAGAACCATAGGATTCTACCCCTTCAATGGCTCTCACCCTTTCGTCCAGGTATTCCCATTTTTCTTTTAATAGGACGTCGTCCATGGCTCCTTCCAATTTGTCTTCTTCTCGATCATGTTTTGGAGATCCCGCGTTCTTCTTATCATTTACGTCTTTTGAGGGTATGACGGGGATCTTGTCACTAGAAGTTCCAACCTTCAGGTTCCCATCGCGATCCTCTTCATCGGAGTGTATTTCTTCATTGTTAGGTATTACGTCTTTCCCTTTAGCTGATAAGATCTTTACTATCATGTTCAGCTGATCCTTCATTTCATCGAACCCGACTAGCTTTTCTTCAAATCCGGTTATCTTTCCTTCAATGTCGCTTAACTTTTTTTGGAACGCTTCCATCACGAACTCGAGCTTGGATCTAGTTAAGTACTTGAAGTCTTTACTTCTTCCTTCTGGACGAGCAATTTTAAGGAAACCTGGACCGTCTCAATATTGTTAAATTATTTCGTTCTTATTAGGATGGTGTATGCGTGATGCTTATGCAAAATGTTAATGATGTATGAATTCAAATTCATTTTTTCGTTTCATGCATGCCTTTTTAATCTTCTTATAATAAGTTGTTAATGAGTGAATAAAAATCTTATGAGAGAATGATGTTTATGAATTTTGAAAACGTTTTTCATTCATGCAATCACACAGGTTTACGAGTAAAAGACAAAACGCATATCATTACGTCGTAAGTAAACATACATTTAGATAAGCAAACATATATCATTACATCATTACCCTATTTGGTATACCTAGGGCTTTCGGATGGCATACCGACATGGTTTTAGGATGGCTTTGGGGATTGTTTTGGACGTCTTAGGGAGGTCTCTATGCTTACTATATGCTGGCAGGGGGGAATTCCTAGGGATCTGGCTCCCAAGTTGTATCCTTCCATAGCCCTTACGAACTGGCTGGATACCTCAAGATCAACCTCGGATCTGAGTTCAACTTGGTTGGAAAGTTTTGCGTGGTTTCCACTACTGTGAAAGTCACGGTACTCCTTTTCCGTTTCTAATAGGATAGCTCGGGTATAGAGCTTTTATGCATGAATGCAAAATTAAATTGCGAAAATATAATTGCGCAAATAAGAAAGTAAACACCCAACATTTAATAGGAAAATAGAAAACTTATCGAACTTAATTATGTAGCTCGACTCTCGAAGTCCCCAGCGGAGTCGCCAACTGTCGCAACCGTCCCGTCCGGGGGGGTCCGAATGTCGTCGCGTCGGCATTTTTGGGAGTCGCCATCGATCTTAGTTGGAGTGGATCGAACACTCTTAGGATCGGCTCTAACCTTAGGGTCAGAACCGAGATATGGTCTGCGAAAATGAAGTTATGGGTTCGGGAGTACGGTTACGTGTAGGGAAGTTAAGCAACACCCCCACAACGCCCTAAATCGGTACTACTTAAGTCGATAAGTTTTATACGAGTTGGGTGTATTTTAGTAATAATTTGTAATTTTAGGGGTCCCACTGGACCATTTAATGATTTAATCATATTAGTTGTAATTTAATTATACGCCCACTGACGTAAAAATTTAAAGATAAAGTTAGTTGATTAATTGGACTCGAACCTTATCGGTTGCCTACGTACCCGTAAGACGGGATCAAAGTCCACGTAGTTCGCTTGGACTTTGAAAATTTTAAGTAAAATTATTACCACATTCCACTGATCGTGGTTCTCGTATCAAAATTTATTGTTAGTAAAATTTAGGTTGGTATTATGAAATTATAAAAAGATAATGTAATAATTTCACTCATTAAGAGGAGTTTTGATGTACTAGAAAAGAAACGAGATATACTTAATCCGCAATTTTACATTTCGTATTAAGGATTTTGAATAAATAACACTATACGGGTTTATATTATTAACGCATGAGGGCCAGCAGTCTAACTGGCTAAAACGCCAGACCAAATTAGCGTTTGACCGAGAGAACATGGGTTCGAAACGCGCTATCTAAATTTTTTTTGTTTATCTCGTTTTAGAGCAGAGAAGGGGGAAGGGCAATTTGGTAAGTGCACAAAAACGCGGTGGCAAGGCCGCGTAATAAGCTGAAAACCCTAGGGTCAATTTGGTCATTTTAAAATTTGAGGTATATAAGCCTCTCCTTAAAGCGAAACCAAACCCTAGTGGCGGCTGCTCTCTATTTCTCCTCGTTCTCTCTCACTCCTCTAACTCTCGCCTCTCTTCTTCACGTAGAGAGAAAAAAACGAACCCTAGCCGATCTCACCCTCCGCCTCTCTCTCACTCGTCCTCATCTTCTCCAGAGAACCCTAGCCGCCGCCCTCATCCCTCTCTTCTCCACAGACCGAAACCCTAGCCTCCTCTCTCCAAAACCGTCGCTATCTACTTTTACCCTCTCAATCCGCCGTCGCTCTCGTGTCTAGCTGGGAATCCTAATCGACCGTGAAGGGGGAAATCGATCAAGGTAAAAACTCGACATGCATGTTGCTTTTCTTTGGACTTTTGGTTTTTTTTTATAGGATTCTGACCTTCCCTTTTTCTCTTTGAATCGAGGGTTTCTGGGTTTTGGTTTCGGTGAGGAGGAAGAAAAAGGCCTATCGCCGATTTGGTAACCGGCGGTGAGGTAGAAACGGTCGGTGGTGGCTGAAAAAGAGACCGCCAGAGGCTTAGAGGTGATATGTGTAAGTTTTATTTTCTGAGTTTTTGTTTTGTTTTTGTATTTGAAGGATTCTGATTATCGATCCTGACTAACTACCCTGATTTATTGCAGATTTGGAGCGGAGTGGCATAGGTGAGCTCTCCTACTGCTCTTGAGAAGTTTTGAAAAAAAAACTCGGCCATATAGCTACAGAATAAATGATTTGCGAACCTGAATACTAAAAAACAATGGTTGTGTGTGTTCTGGAATTTTTTATGTGGGTGGATTTGATCTGTGGTTTTTAGATCTAGCTCTAGATGCTCTTGAAGTTAGAAAAGAAAGGTTCTCTGAACTGGAAATTTAATTAACATACCCCGACTTGTTAGTTTTGACGATTGCAAATCACTGCCTCTGCCTGTGGTTTGCTAGACTGGGAACTATAAATCATTGCTTCTGCTCCTGATTTTGGGTAGATTATGAACTCTAAAATGCGTTTATTGCTTGTGGTTTTACTGAACTATGGTTGACAATTGATTTGTGAATGTGGAGTTCATTATGCTATAGTCATTTTCGGATCCAAATCTATACTGATCTATAAGATTTGAAAATGTTAAAATAGTTTTGGATCATTTCTATGACCCTCTCAATTTGGTTACTTTGTAGTTGTCTGAGTTTGATTGTGGTGTGGTGGATGTGGAATTTCTATTATGATGTTTGGTATTAGCTATGTTTCTTGGCAAAAAGGAAAACATATATTTCGGAAATGGTAGATCTATGAAAACTTGGAAGAAAGATTAATCACTACAACTGGATGGCGAGTAAGATAAAATGGAAACGAGTAGCTAAATTTAAACGAAATACTATTATGTAGTGTACATAATCAATACTAGTAGAGGGAAGACAACAACAATTATTGCTCAAACATAAACCAGTTCAAGGAAAATGAGTGAACATTAGCTAGTTTAGCGGAATAATACGAGAGATGAAATTTGAACCAAAAGAACCTGAGCAAAGGGCAAAATTTCATTATCAAAAGAGTTGAAGTTGAAAAGCTAACCTGGTCTGGTCCGAGAATACCACTCTTTCTTCTATGATCTTCAGCCTTCTCTACAGAAGAAATTGTGTAGTTCTATCTCTAGTGGGTTTCTTCCAATTCGTCCCCCCCAAAACAAAGATCCTGAAGAGCTCATTTATACCAAACCAAACCACCACGTGTCACTATGTGATTCTTCCATTTCTTTATTGCGACTTTGAAAGGTGTGCCACCTGTTGAGGTCGGCTGTGGATAGGATGTGGTCAGGCCGAACCAGGCCGGTTGGGTTATGGTCTAATTTCGTTGGGCCGAGCTGGGCCTGTTTGTTGGACGTTTGTATGGGCTGGGCCTGTCATAAATTTTTCTGGGCCGATACTGGGCTCTGTCTAGTCTTGAATTACTTTGATTTGGGCTTAGTCTATGGACTTGGACTCTCACTTGAGAACTGACTGTTCTTCTTTTTTTCTGCAGGTTGGGTTTGCTTTGGGCCCAAAAGAAATAGCAAAAAGGCCTAGTCTTAATCTGATTGGTGCCCCAAATTTTGTAGAGTTAGCATTAGTCATTGTAGTTAATTCTAATTCTTGCTTCATTTAGAGGTCATTACCCAAGTTGTACAATCTTTGATAATAAAGCTCATTCCACTATTCAATTTGTCCCATTTCAAATTCAAATCCAAACTCGAGCAACAAATTTGCACTATAGTCATTTCTCCCTTCTAAATGAGAATTTATATTTAAGATTCGCCACTGCTAATCTTAACTTAAACTGATCCTATCTTAACTAACTATGCCCTAGAATCGACTAGGAGCAAATTTGATAATTGTTGGTTCATATTGACTTGCAACTGCTAGTCTCAACCAAACTATCTTCTACTTCCCTTTTAAATATAATCGTAGTACGATGTTAGAATAATTATTTTCAATAAAACAATTATCCCGGACAAAATGTGGTGTCTACATCTTCATTTTCATGATAAGTGCTAGCCATTTCAGAATCACCCTCATAGTCACTATAATAATCATCATCTTCTTCTTCGTATGCATTGTAGTCCTCATCATCTTCATCGGAAGCACCACAAAATAAGGTTTCTTTTGTCGAATAGCCGACTGCATCTTCATCCACATCACTACTAAAAAATCCTCCACTTCATACGCTCCAACGGAAAACAGCCCAATGATTCGAGGACGATCATTAGGTGTTGCAGCCATGTCCAGCAAGTCACCATCGTCAGAAATCTCCAACATTGACTCGCTGGAGGGAGCTTTCCAATAGAATCTTGGATTTTTAATCTTCCCACTACACTTCTCATAGAACTCAGGCAAGTCCAAGAGAGACAACTCATCAATGTCGACATAGTCATAGAATACAGTTTTTTTCTCCTTCATGAAGTTTTTGCTACTCTTCTTTTTCAACTCGTGGTATACGTGAACATCGAATGAAAACTCACCACTGCATGCACGGATGCACGTGTTGGTTACTAACAAATTCTTGGTGAGCAGCAAGTAAGAAAGTGAATGCGAGACAGGTGTGGGTTAAAAGCAAAAGACCTTTACGAAAAGAACAAAATGACACTTTTGGAATGCTCTCCAGCATAAAGAAAAAATTGAAAGCGATGGAACTTACGATAGTTGGGTAGGGAACCATTGGGGGCCGCACATGACCCACCATGATTCTCGATGAAGATTCGGACAACCTGGAATAAACAACACCAACTTGCACTTTAAGTTTAAAGAATCAAACATCCACCTGGAAAACCCGAAGTTGTTCTTTTTCCCTTTCATTTTTTTTATAAGAAACCCACACTGAATCCAAAACAATCTCCATTAACAAAATAGGTACCTTCAGAATTTCTCCTTTGTTGCATGCCTACTCCCGAAAAAAAGAGCAAGGAAAATGAATCGGCAACAAACTTCAATAGATGGATTTAGGGTTTCACTTTTCGCCGTCCATGTCATAATCACAATTGTAGCAAACTTGTGACGCCTGGGTAACTGGACGAAAGAGAAGAAGAGAAGAAATAGCCGGCGGAAGAAAGATTCAAAGAGGAAGATGTACGCAATCTTCCCCTGCTTTGGAAATTCGAACGAGAGAAAAATGAATGGGAGATGACGATGGCCTTTCGTTTCTTCTGCCCTTATCCACTCTATTTTACTTTATTATACTTAATTGGGTTGGGAGAGAGAGAGAGAGAGAGAGAGAGAGAGAGAGAGAGAGAGAGAGTGGGGTGGTGCTGACCATTGGGGAACAAATTTGGATCTATTTCAAGCATCTGTTTTATAGGGCTTTGGCAAATTGGGCGAAGGCAACCCACATGACAAATCTTCGTCGGGCGAGCTTATGGTGAAGTGAAAGATACTTGAGGCAATGATATATCTATTCTCGCAGCCAGCCTCTCAGTCGCATTCACATCGACAACGACTCCAACTTCACTAGATTTGCATCCCTCTTTGGCTAGTACTCCCACTGACTCCCCGCAGCCTACAGTGAGAACGGCGACAACACGCAGTTTCTTTCCCTCCGTATAGATTTGAAGCTAAAATTGGGGATTTTTCAATTTGAGTTTCAAATTGTTCATCCGTAGAGGTTTCTGGCCTTTTATATGTTCAATTTATTCTTTCTTGCTTGATTGCTTGTTGGTTTTGAAACTAGGGTTTAGGGGTCAGAGAAGTCAAATCCACCTCTGTGGCGGCTAAAGACACGGATCCTTGTCCGACGAAGAAGATATTCCTTTTGGACACATCGGCATCAGCCTGCAAATTGTGTTATTTGCATGCGCAATGTTGGTTACTGTTTCCATCTGATTTCAGTGTTTTTATGTGTTTGTTTTTCTCGGTTTAAATAATTGGATGCAAGTTCTGCAAATTTGAGTTCCTTAACTCTCGAATCATAGTACTTTTGTTTTGGAGTTGCTGATGTATGTCCCAATACTTTTCGCACTTATGTACTCTCAATGCTCTGTGTTCAACTACCATATCAATGGAATGTTGTACAATGTATTCATCTTTATGAATCATTTACTTTTACAATAAATCAATACAAAAGCATATCTATTTGCCTCTAAAAATTAATTTCACAAGCAACACTATCTGCCTCTATAAATAATATTAGAGGCAAATTTAGTAGCCTCATTAACTAAATTCAGAAACAAAAATACATGCCTCTATAAATAGTTAAATACTATTGGATTCAAGTTTAATAGCCACTAAGGATCATTTTAGAGGCAAATATTTAAGCCTCTAATATTGGATATAAAGGCAAAATAAAAGTGACACTAGCAGCTAATATATTAGTCACCAAATCCTTAATCCGCAACAGATTATATATGCCGCTATATTTTCTTCTATATGGCGATAGCCACTAGAGTATTTGAGGCAAATGTATTATCTGCCTCTAAATATATACAGTGGCAAATAATAGACTTATAGAGGCAAATTCTCTTAGCAGCTATAAATGAGTTTTGTTGTAGTGTACTTAAAAGATAAAACATATTTATTCTCCAAGTTCATTAATTTTGGAAAATTATATCTGGATAGTCATAACTATCCACGTTTTGACAATAATAATCACTTTCGAAAAAATACACAGATGTAGCCACAAATTTTATACTTATCTGACTCATTTAACTATTTCTGTTAAAAAATTCAATGTCGTCAGTGATTTCGTCAGTAACAACAGACGTATGCTTATGTGGATGCCACCTAGACAACATATAATCTCCAATAATTATGTGGATGCCACATCATTTTTCAATTAAAAAATTTAATTCAAAAGTTTCTTGATCTACGATGGAGATTGCTTCTCTTCCTCGGCGATATGATTGTGCGCCCTTGAGACAGGTCAGGATCTTGATCCCTCCTCAACTTTCCGGCTCTTGAGCTTCTGTTGCAGTAGGGATTTCAGAAACTAACCAACCTCGGCATTACCCTCGAGAAACTTGGATTAAAGGGAGGCTAATGAAGGAGACAAAGCCAAGGAATCTCATCCACCTGCAACTGGGTTTGCGGCGATACCTGGTTTGCCTCTTTGACGATGGCCGAGATTTGTTCACCTAGAGTAGTCACTACAAGAAATTACCCCTACCGTGATAGTTAAAACGACACATAAAGTAGGAAAAATGGTCACCAAAAGTTTTGGAGACGGTATTGCAACGTCATGTGGTCCGTCAATTACAGGTGACAGTGGAAGTGAATGTCACGTAAAAGCTGACACTTGTACTAGTAGAGGACTCAGTACGGAAAGATAGGTGGCGGGAGAAGCAGAGGTGGCTCAAGACACCGATTTTGGATAGGGTTTTGAGTCACTTGATGGTTAAGGTTGGTGTGGGTTTAGTAGGCATGTTTTAATGGTGGAAATGGAAGAAGGTTGTGGGTGGCGAGCCCATAGAATTGAGAAGATGAAGTAGTTGGTAAGTTGAATTTAAAGAAGAGAGAGAGGAAGAAGATGAAAGTACTTTGATATTGAGGAAGGAAGTTTCGAGAACGGACTTCATTGTTGAAAGATTAATGACGATCTTTTTCTTGAACATCGTTCATCCTTTTTTTTCCAATGAGTAATGAAAGAGAGAGAGAGAGGAGATGAGATTGCTAGTTGTTAGGACATCGGTGGCCATTTCACGATGTAGGTCGGAGCTAGGAGGCGGAGGGATTCGCCTCCATCGAGAAGACGATTTTTTTTTATAGTTTATTTCCTTTTTCCATGTAATTGCAAGATGAAAAATGAACATTACCCCGTAGCATCCTTTTTTGACGAAAATTCAACACGTCGGCGATAAACGTTTGTCTAGTTAGCATCTATCATAATACTGCTAAAGTTATTGACATAATGGGTATTTTAGGGGTCGTTTGGAGAATAGGATTTAGATCGTGGATTCACTAAATTCATAGATTTTGTAGAAAGTTATATTTTTGTTGCTTTTTGTATTGTGAATTTTAGCTTTAGAGAATTCCAATATCTAAAATCTACTGATATCAAATCTCTCATAATTAGAGAGATTTTATATCTTGATTCCTGAAAAAAAATTTCTCCTACATTTTCTTTATTTATTTATTTATCACATTAAATATATTATCAACAAAGCTTTTAATATTTCTCGAACCATTCTAATTTTTTTATTAAGGATAAACATGTTATAAAATATAAAATTAATATTTGATTTTTCATTGAATGTTAACGATCACAGTTACCAAACAATAAATATTTTATAATCTATTTCAACAATTCGAAGATTAGAATTTTTAGATTGTTGACAATATATAGATTTAATCTAATTTCTCCAAACGACCCTTAGTGTATTTTCCAAAAATTTGACTGTTATTGTAAGAAAGTACAAAGTTATGGCTATCTAGGCGTATTTTGCTTTAATTTTAGTCAAAACATAAGGCCCCAACTCAAGACTCATTGTGCACTTTCTACATTTTATATTTTTGCTTTATGAGGTTCATGATCTATTTTATAAGTTTTGTGGTATCGTTTGTCATGTTGGTCTGGTTTGAGTTTTCTGGTCTGCTTCAATGATTCTTGTGGTTTGCTTTATGAGTTTTCTACTCGCTTTAGGAAAGTTATGGCCAACTTTGAGTCTTCTGGTCTACTTTATGAGTGTTGTGGTCTAGTGAGCTTGTGGTTTACTTTATGAGTTTTATGGTGTGGTTTTTCGTGTTTCTGGTCTGGTCTGAATTTTGTTGTTTGCTTCATGATACGTCTGATCACCTTTATGAGTTTTCTTGTCTGCTTTAGGAAACTTATGACCATATTTGAGTTTTCTAGTAAGCTTTATGATTTTTGTGGTGTCTTAGGTTTGTGGTATGATTTATGAGCTTTCTGGTCTACCTTGTGTTTTCATGGTGCGGTTAGCCGTGTTTCTGCTATGCTTCATTATAATTTTGGTCCATAGACGTGTTGCTCTGATAGTTTTTTGAAATGACAAGTGTGTCCCTCCCTATAAAATATACAATTAAATGTGGTCAATTCTTTCAACATAGAAAGTCAACAATAGTAACGCTTCATATTGGTTGGGAGTTAGTGTTAGCACCATGCTAACAAATTAGGTGTTAGTAGTTAGCACCCTAACCCTATCTCATATTTCGTACTTTTTTTCTTCTTCAATTTTCTCCCTCCCTCTCGATCTTTTTATTTTTATTTCAATTCATAGGAAAATCATGAATGCAGGGAATTATTCTTTACATCAAGCTTCATCCTCCACAAAGAATGAGATGTCATTTTTATTTCAATTCATTGTCCCTCTGATATTTAAATCAAGAAATAGCAAATTGTTACTCTCGGATCCGATGGCCTCTACGAACCCTAACAGGAGAAAAAGACACCTCTTTCTCTTCAAATCCAAGTCTCGAACCTCGACAAGCAACATATAGGAAGCTCATTTACAAGGGCATTGTTTCATCATCACCAACATTCATCTAGGAGGCACGTGGTACGCACTAATGGGAAGTACAAATAGTCAATAGGATTTTGTCCTCTCCAATTGTCTAAATCGTTCATTTATACATTCTTTGTAACTCGAATTCACCATCACAAATGGAAGAGGGTACATTGAAACCCTAAAATCCTCTTGATAAATTTTTAGTGATGGTATCAATGGGTAGCTAGGGTTCTTACCCTTTTATCTATGATTTTTCCTTTTTTCCTTCTTCTTTTTCTTTCCTCCTTTAAGATCCATGAACCATGGTAGATCAAGTCCAAATACACAAAAACACAATGAACAATCAACTTGATAGTGGAGACAGATTTGAATACACCAATCGTCTAGCCACAGGTTACCCATTATCCATAGATAAGAACAACAAATTACAAAGAACAATATGGACAAGTTATGGTTCCTCAGAAACTCACACCAACAAATTACAAAGTCTGGGTAGGTATATGATCGAAGCACTTGCACTAAAAAAACCTATAATTCATTTATCGAAGCATCCCTGAGCTAAAAGTAAGAGAAGCAACGACTTGTCGTCCTTGGACAAGCTGCAACACCATGGTCAAGAGTTGGATTCTATGGTCAATTGATGAAGTAATTGGAAAGAGTGTGAGAAGCATCTAAGTTGC